CCAGGAAGAGAGCTAATACCAGAGATGATTTTTTATATCAGAAAGGCTTATCTGCATGGCATGACAAACATTTGTTTACAAACTATCTGCTTTTCTCATCTTTCTGTGAACTGTCTTGCTCCTCTTTGAAGCCTTGGGTTTCGACCCCCTTCGCCTGAGCTCAGGACGGCATGCATATAAGCCCCAGTTATCTGACTGCTGGGAAGTCTCATGTTTTTATGAGTCTCCTGCATGTAGGAAACTTGTTTTTCTCCCGTTAATCTGTTTTCGGGAGGGGGAGATTATCACCCCCGTGCCCCACCCTTCTTTAGTTCTTACCACTGGACTAATAATAAAATAATAAGCTTAACACAAGACTAGATTAACAGGAGGAAAAGAAAAACAATTTAACACTTACACAGGGGATAATCATAATATGATGCTGTTTGGTTTTCGTTTTGAAGGAGGCACTAAAAGTTATACTCAGAGACTGAATCTGGCATTGACAGCAATTTATTTAGCACAGGTTGAGTGTGAGAATTATAATTTTATAACCCAGTAGCATACAGGATAATATATTTTAATAAACCAAACAAAGAAATAACATACTCCAAACAAGTCACAGATTAATCACACTATTGTTCCACACGGGAAGATGAGAGGAGTAACATCCAAATTTAATATGAGGTTTACCTTTTATATGAATAGGTACCCAGGAGAGCGCTTGACCAACCCAAGAGTTGATTTCCAGCTGCCAGCTGCTGGTACACACAGACTCAGGGAAAGGTCTCAGGATTGCAAACCTATGTCTGTAACCAAGGGCAGGGAAAGTCTGGAAATAGGGTCTGGACATTCCAGTCCAATAATTAATAGTTCGTTAAGGGAAAACGTACATATGAGGTATGATTTGAGTGGCTGCAAGATGTCCAAATGGATTTCTGTGCCAGTTAACAAGGGACAAATAATCATATAGGGCAGAAAGGGGTTAGTAAGTGAGTGCTATCAGGTACAGGAAATTATTTACATACTTGACCAGGTCAGGACAAAGGCCTGTTCCAGGAACCAGCACATGGTAGGGGGCAGGGGAGGGGTACTGATTTATGTCAGAGCAAACACTGATTACACAGTCTCTGAGAGGGCTTGTTGGAAGCAATCTCCCCCTTCTGGCCCAAGTCCAGCTCAGAGTCCAGTGGTCACGTCGTGGAACAGTCTCTGTTCCACACCAGCCCAGAAGTAAACGGCCCCTGTTGCAGGAACATGTTGCTAGGTAACAGACTCTTTCAAGGAGCACTGCTCAGTGTCTCACCACTATCTGCAAGGAGCAACCTCACCAAGACAGGAGCATATGTCGCAAGGGTCTTTGGAGAGATTTTAGGTGAAGGATGAATGGTCTCACCAAAACCGAAACTCCTAAATAGTCCCCACAGACTCGCAGTATTTGTAGTCTGAATGTCCTCTTGCCATACTCGTTTCTCCACACACTCTTATTGATTAGCCCCCAGCAGGGCTCTTTAGCAGCTGGGCTGCTTATCAAGGACAACAGATGTGAATGATGACCTCCTGGCACAGATGTTTTCATTCTTATATCAATGTATTGTGGAATGATGACATCCCAACCCAACTCCATACTTATGTCAAAGCAACTTTATCTCTTTGTCATAAACAAGTAGATTTGAAATCATTTTAAAGCAATATCCACAGATGATCGAATCATAAAATGAGGCTCAAAGAAATGACTGAAGTAGGCACTTTTTGTATTTTTCAGACAAACAATATATTTGTGAGAAATTGACAGGAGAAAAAAAAGTGCTCATTAGAAAGGAATCTGAGCAAGGTTTGGGTATTAGTGAGGAATCTAAACAAAGTTTGGGCTTGGGTAGTAAATTAGTAAAGGACTTACAAGGTTTGTTTATATAAGCTTTGACTCTGGATTCTTTTAACCCTTGTGGTGAGGTTGTCTCTCAGCCCTCGGCAGCAGGGAGCGCACCTATCATGGAGATTTATATTCTGCTTTTAGAGGAACACAGAGGTCAGAGTTTTCTTCTTGCAAGGGCAGTTTCTTAAGTAACTATAATCCAAAGTAATCAATATGCCGTTGTGGGGTATCTTGGGTCAGCCTGCCTTGGGCTCCAACACTGACTGTCCTACGTCACTTTAATTATTAGATCAGCCAAAGAACCTGGAAGGGATGTTATCTACTCCTATAGTCCCCCATTCTTAATCATGATCTAAGTGATAAGTTAATGTACAGATGATTATAATTAATAAAAAAAATGCACGTTTAACCTTTAATAATTGGTAGGAGAGTAAATATCTGGGTATTATTCTATTAAGTGTAGATATAATTATCAAATATAAATATGCACATTTTCTCTATATAAGTAGAGAAGGGTGGATTTAGTAAACTGTGAATCTGCCAAAGGAATGTGAGAAAAGTAGGAATTATACCAAGAAAAGGAAGGATAAGAAAGAATGATGATTGCACACAAGACAAAATGCAAAGAGGGTCTAACCATGCCTCACAATAATAATGGATTGGACAAATGTCCTAAGAAAATAGCTACTATGCAAATTGGATCTCTCATTATCCGGGAGAGAAGTCTTTAGCTGACAATTCTAATTTAAATAAAATGCAAACAAAACAAGTTTTCAATTATGTTAATAGAGCAGGTCAATACATAGAATGACAAAGATGATATAATGATAAACACTCATCACACAAAGCTTGTCATTAAGGAGAGAAACAAGCCAAAGTCCCAAGGCTGCAGCAAGTAAACTAGACATAACAACTAGAAATAAAACAGCCAAGACAGCTCTAGCTGGAAGCTACTTCCTCTACCAAATCCCCATGTACGCAGAGGCTGTGAGGGGTGGGGTGAGGTGAGTTGAGAGAAGGTGGGCTCGCAGCTGGAGATGGAGATGAAACACAGCCTCTTCCAATGGTGGTGGGGGCAGAACCCCATGGTCCATCGACAAAGATGGTGACAGAGCTGAAAAATCACCTCCTGCGGTGGGGTTTGGGGGCAGTCTCTGTGACCCTAGACCCCAGAGCATCTGAGGGCCACCCTGGATTGAGATGACCTCAAATAAGAATTCCTAAGAGTCTATCTGATCATGGCCACCGCGAATGATCGAATGATCTTACAGCAGTCACTCCATTATTTGCTGTTTAAGCTGCCCACTGTCAGCCATGGCTTGAAAATATGAAATGAAAAATTCCAGAAACAATTCGTAAGTTTTAAATTGCATGCCTTTCTTAGTGTGATAAAAATCTCTTGCTGTCCAGCTCTGTCCTGCCCAGGACATGAATCAGCCCTTTGTCTGGCACCTCCAGGAAATATATGCTCCTTTCCCTTAGTCACTTAGTAGCTGATTCAGTTATCAGATTGACTGTTGTGGTATTGCCGTGCTTGTAGTCAACTAACCCCTATTTTACTTAACGGTGGCCCCAAAGCACAAGAGTAGTGATGCTGGCAATTCAGATATACCAAAGAGAAGCCATAAAGTGCTTTTTTAAAGGGAAAAGGTATGTATGTAAAGGAAAAAAACATAATATGTCACTATGTCAGGTACTGTCCACTGAGAGCCTTGGAATGTATCCCGGTGAATAAGGGGCAACTGCTGCGTAAAGCAGCTCTTCCCATTTAGGCAGGTGGGCCTCCAAAGCTTACTTTGCAGGTTGCAGCTCATTGCTGAGGCCCAAGGGGAAGCCTGGCCTTTCTGTCCTAGTTTCCCCCATGTCACATGACCCAGAGTCAGCTGAGCTCCCCTGAAGCCTCCTGTTTACCAGATCTGTGCTTTTTGCTGGTGACTAACCCTGGCCACACCCCCAAAGGGCTGCCTGGGTGGGCACCATGCACCTACTACCAGAGGCTTTTTTCAAAAGCCCAGCAACAAGTTGTTTCTTTGGTTCTTCAGGCTAAAAAGAATCTGGGGTCCCATGTTATTGCTGAGGGAAATGGAGAAAAAACATTTCAGTAAATTTTCCTGATTATTAATATGAAACTAAGCAGGGACTTTTCTTGATACTGTGTAGCATGTACGGGGATTCATATATGGTCAAACACCATGTGGTTTTTATTGATACCATTATTTGCGCTAACTAGGGCTAACTGGCTGATGAATGTGACAATCACTGTAACAGTCAATAATCCAGTGTGTAACTATGTCCCTAGGGCTTCAGGTTTAAAAGAAAATGGGAGCATCATCCCTAATGCCAGAAAGTAGTTCCTAGCTTCATGTGACAAACAGGCAGGAAACACATTTTTTGATGTTCCCACTTTGCTGTTTTCTTATCTGTGAAGTATCGCATTCATTTTCATGGCATTATTATGATTTGATAGAATTACTTTAAAGATCAAGTCAAGTGTCTGTAAAACACTTAACAGAACCTACCACACATCCAATGCTCAATAAATATTTTAAAATAAAAAAAAGGGGTGCAGTGGGGCAGAATCGACCTATTTAGATCTTGGGAGCTAAACCAGAAGTAATTGTTGGTGAGCTAGAATATGCAATCTCAGTTGGGCTGAGATAGAATCCTTTTACTTTTATTTATGGTAGTACTCTGAAAAAGTAAACTAATAAAATTATTTAATCCAGGAAAGCTATCCTATTCTATATAAATTATAGGAATAACGAAGAAACTCATAGTGATGCTTTTGTTATAGTCTTAGGTTTCATACTCACTGAGAGTATGTGTTTTGCCATTTAAGCTATAAAAAAGACATAACACAATAGACTTATTTCTTCAACATTAGCATTAATGAAATAAAAACATTCTTCCTTATCCTCAAAAGCTCCCGGGACATGAAAGATCCTCCCCACACCTATCTAGTATAAAACACTATGAAAAGCAGAACCAATCTTTTATAATTATTAGCCTTTTCCCATCTTGGAACAAGAAAATTTTCTTGATAATAAATACCAATCCACGTATATATCTTTTGAAATGTATTTATTATGACTCATTTGAATCTCTAAACAAGTGTCTATGCAGGAGAAGGGTAGTGGAGCACTAACATTTTTTTCCCTTCAGTCACAGGAGCAAAGGCAGGATTCACACTGGGCCTTGAAGACCAAGGCTCCTGACCCAGACCAATGCCCCTGCACTGAGGTCCTAATCACAAAGATCACATTATTTTGGGAACAGATTCCTAGACAGTCTCCCGATCTATTTCCAGTAACTACAGGGCTTCATCCAGTTCGTTCATCACGGGGCAGAGAGGAAAGCACTGGAACGTATGATCTTTCTTTCAAGATACTTCATGGTTTCCAGGCTTCCTGAGCATCCCTGCACCTGGAAGGAAAGCATGAACTTGAGCATGTACTCTGCCCAGAACATACAGACACAGAAGGAAAGTGACTCCACAGAAAACACTGTTGAGGCTACCCCGCCGGTCACCTCAGAGCAGATCACCTACATTAGAATCACCCAGAACACCCAATAAAATAATGATAGCGTATTTGTCAAGTATTTTCTACGTATTCTAAATGCTTTGGTGTATTTATTCATTTAATCCGTGGGGAAAAAAAACTTGTATATATGCGACTATCACTAGACCCGTTTTATAAGCGAGGAGACTGAGTAGTTTGCCAGTATACCGAACTCCTGGGTGGGGAGGAGCGGTAGAGAGGAGGTCGTGCTGGGCAATCTACATTTTCACAGAGCTCATTCTAAGTCTGAGAACCGCTGGACCCAGGACCTCTGAGGCTGGAGTCCTATCTCAGAAAATGGGGGGACAAAAAGAGTCCTCCCAACCTCTGAAAAGATTGATTCAGGTGGTTAGACCAGGGGGAAGGGGCTGGGCTAAGACTTCCTTAAATCTCTTCCTTGGGTTTTCTGGCTGCCGCCCACGATGCCTTATTCTAGTAATCACGGAGGGTTCCGTGATCACTCTGGAGCCCCAGGAATCCTAGCATCCCAGGACGTGAAGAAGTCCCAGTCTCGTGGGAGGGGAGTGGTGGAAGTTAAAGATCCCTTAGCACACACAGCCTAGGTCTGCAGCACCCAGAGCCTTTGCATAGGGAGTTCCTTACCTCCATACCGTTTCCTTCGGGATTTTTCGGCCAAGTTGAGAATCATCTTTTTGGCACGCTTCGGGTACCAGTGTCTCCCCGTGATATTGATTTCAACCTTGCCCTCGGGGTCCGGCTCTCCCATCTGGACCAGGACTTTGAACTCCCGTTCGAACGTCGGGAGGAGGGCTCTGTTTGGACCTGTGTGGAATGGAGGGTTCCTGGAGGATCAGGCGGTATGGGGTAAGGCTAGGAGGAGCGGGGAAGGACGTCACCGAGATCCTGGCTTGCAGGACTCTAGCCACTGCCTTAGGTCTGCAGTAGGTGGCTCAGGGTGGACACGGGAGACCGCGGTGGGACCGAGTGGTAAAAATTCGAGCGCACTTACCGAATATCTTTTCCAGCAGACACGCTTCCACGTGAAGCACTGACGGTTTCAGAAAGCACTTAACCCTCAACCTGTACGGTAATTGTGGAAAAGGAGCCACTTCCTGGATTGGAAACTCTTCCTGTTGGTCCCTGGGCCATTCGTTCTGCTCAGGGTCATCAGGCCGGGCGCCATCGCCCATAGCCGGGATGAAATCTAGAGGAAGAGAAAACCCCATGTGGACGAGAGGCAGGACGAGACTGCTCACAGTCAGCCCACAGCTCCAGGTTTGTTTCTTCGTATGCCCCGCCCCCTCCAGGGCCGCTCTCTCATTGGTTCCCTCATACCCCGGCTAGCCAATAGAATCTCAGCAGTGCCTAGCGCAACCTCCAGTCAGCCCCTTTGGTGCCCTCACTGTTAAGGATGGAGAAATCCCGGTTGGAACACAGGCCTTCTTTGAGTTACATTGTTTCCTCAATAATAAATGTCACAAAACTGTGGGATAAGGAAAGACACACTACTTACTTACCAACGTTAGCTACAGTTCAGAGATTCATGTCTCCCAGCACTGGATGTACTAGGATGAGGATTATTTCTACAGTGCCAACCCGCTAATATAGTAACATTTATTGTGGTCTAAATACTTTATAACAACACTACGAGGAAGGTACTATTATTATTTCCATTTTTATAGACTTGGAAATGGAAGTGGTGAGACTAGGACAAAAGTCCAGGCAGTAGGCTGGCGAGTTCCTGCTAGACTTTGGTGCTAAAAGAATTTCATTATTTCTTATGATTGACACTTCTGATGTTACCAGAACTTTGCTTGCCCAGAAAATATCAGACAACAGGCTGCCTCTTAGTATTAAAAAACACCAAGAAAAAAAAAAAAAGCGTTTGCTGTGACCCTAAATCTCTTACTGATATTATGAAACTCCAAAACCTAACACCTACTTCAATGACCATGCTATAATGCACATGGATTAGAAGCTTCTTTTCTAAGGATGTCATTTCAGGAGTTTAAATGTTGCTAGAGCTTATTATTTCATAATCATCTAGAATATGCCCTGAAATAGAAGGTCTCAAAGCCTGTGGCCTGAGGATCCCAGGGAGTCTCTAAGAACCTTTCAGGGGGTCTATGAGGTCAAACTATTTTTATAATACTAAGATTTTATTAGTCTTTTTTACTCTATTCTTTCACAGATGTAGAGTGAACTTTTCCAGAGGCTACATGACCTGTGGTATTATGTGATATCATAGCAGGTTGAATGCAAAGCAGCTATGAAAATCCAGCTGTCTTCTATTAAGTTGGACCTTAAAGAGATTTGCAAAAAATGTAAAATTGATGCCCCTCTCCTCAATAAAACATTTTTGTTTTGGAAAATACATTTTTTCCATAAAAATGTTATTTTGACACGTGTGTATTTTGTTATTTTTAAAGAAATAAAGGAATATTTTATAGCTTACTTTAGATTTCTAATAAAGTATCAAGAGATAATATAACTGATGTACACAAAAGCTCTTTGGGGGGAGTCTCAATAATTTTTAAGAATATAAAAAAGTTTTGGAATCAGAGTTTGACAACTACTCTAGTAGAAAAGCATTAGATTTAGTGTCAGGAGGCTGGGAATTCAGCTCTGACTCCCTCACTTACTATTTGAATGCTCTCTGCAATTAATTTTCCTCTCTCAGCTTCAGCTTACTTAAATATAAACTTAGGAGATAATATTTGATTGCAAAGGCAGCTCATACAGTTTAGTGAATCAAGATAGGAGAGAATATAAGTTACTAAGCACTTGACAAATGTCAGGAATTAATCTTATTACATACAGTATTTGACCAAAAGCCTGGATGGGCAGTAAAAGTTTATCTGTCTCTGAAGAACCCAGATTATGTTGTGTCACTGCCAGAAGTTTAGATATTTGATTACCTAAAGCCTTATCAGAATTAAAAATAAAAAAGTCCACACCTTATCCTTAGGAGATGCATGCTGAAGTATTTAGGTGTGATTATTATAATTTTAGCAACTTCAAATAGTTTTGCAAAAAATATTAATTTATAAATATATACATATAGCTATAAAGCAAAAAGGACAAACTGATAATAAAATTACTGAGTCAAGATGGAAATTGTGGGTGTTCACTGTACCATTCTTTTTATTCTCCTGTTAGTTTTTGTTTTCATCATCAAAAACTGGAAAATAGCCCTGGCCAGTTTGTCTCAGCGGTTGGAGCATCAGCCTGTAGACCAGAAAGTCCCGGGTTTGGTTCCCGCTAGGGGCATGTACCAAAAAACAAACAAAACAAAACAAAACAAAACTAAACTGGAAAATAATAGTTTTATTTCCTTTAAAGTCAATAAGCATAGTCATCTGCAAAGAAACTATTAAACCAGGAGAATTAGTAACTAACAAAAAATATAAGGACATACTAAAGAACTTAAAAGGATATAAAACACATGGGGATTTTCTTCTCACTCTGGAATCACTTTTCTTTCCCCAGAGGCAACCACAGTTCAGTTTATTGTTTATCTTTTCAGAAAGATTCTATAAGTGCCCTGTCCAGTTTGGCTCAGTGGTTGAGCGTCGGCCTGCGGATCAGAGAGTCCCGGGTTCGGTTCCCGCTAGGGGCACATACCACACACACACACACACACACACACACACACACACAAGATTCTATAAGCATATATGTCAGTATAAAGTGGATTTGTGCACTTAAACTTATCAGATTCAACCAAATAAGTAAAAGAGTGTAAAGGAGGGGAGGGAGGGAAGTAAGAAACAAATTGTACAAGTGTGAAATGGAAGTGACTCTGTTGTTCCATTGGTTTTTGAGGGCCACTCAGTGTGTGAGCAAGTCACCATAATGAGTGTGATTATAATGGTTCAATATGTCAATTCACCTTCTTACTTAATCATAAACTATCAAGGGTTCACCTTAGGTGATGACTTTTGGTCCTAATGTCCCACGGAAAGATGCCACTCTATCCTCTACTTTATACAATGGCAGCATATTATATGCCTGGTTGAACAGCTTTAATGGTTGGAAGCTCTTTTCCATTTTGAGCCAGAATCTGTCTCTTGAAACTAACCACTTAACTTCTTATATAATGACAATTCTCAGATTTTATATATCTTTCCTCGTTTTCACTAGAGCCTGTTGACTGGAGAAAAAGAATCAACTAGGTATTCTGTCACCAAAAGGATTTATTCCGGAAAAAGAAAAGATTGCAGTCCAGTGCACGCAGACATGGCAAGCTACCCATGCACACAGAATGGGACAAAGATGGAGGAAGTGCTTTATAGATGGGAAGAGGAAGATAAGGGGAGGGCTGTTATAACCATAGAGCTATGTTATAAACAAAGTTTTCCTGTAAGGCTGTCCTGATCACATAAAGTGTGAGAAATTCTCCCATAGACCCTTCGGGTCTTTGTCATAAATTTGGTCAAGTTCCTTTTATTGCTGAACTACCTCTAATTCCTTTAATCATTTCTTTTATAAAACTGCAATTAAAATAAATATTTATTGTTGAAAAAAGATACCCTGAGTAACTAAGCTTATTTTAATTTAAGAAAACAACTGAAATATTCTAGCTAAAGTGTGTATTGGTTTAATATGATTTCAAATCCACTTGTTTATGACTTAAGTGAAGTTGTTTTAATCCATTTATTTATGACAAAGGAAAAAAGCTGCTTTGATGTAAGTATGAAGTAAGTCATGCCAGAATGTCATCATTCTACATCTGTTGTCCTTGATAAACAGCCAGCAGCCCAGCTGCTGAGGGGAAAGCATGTGGAGAAGCAAGTATGGCAAGGGGACATTTAGACTATAAATACTGAGGGTTTGTAAGGACTATTTGAGAGTTTTGGTTTGGGTGAGGCCATTTTTTCCTAACCTAAAAACTCTCCAACGACCCTTGGGACATTTGCTCCCGTCTTGGTCAGGCACTCCTAGACAGCAAGAGAAACCTCTCAGTGGCCTCAGGAAGATCAGCCCATCTACCAACACAGGAGTCTTTGTTCCTTACCGACATGCTCTAGCAACTGGAGACTTTCACTTTTGCCCTTGCAGCTGGAAATCATCTCTGTCCTAAGTGCCAACTCTTATAAAAAGGTACACTTCTGGCCCTGGCCGGTTTGGCTCAGTGGTTGGAGCATCGGCCTGTGGACCAGAGAGTCCTGGGTTCGGTTCTTGCTTAGGGGCACATACCAAAAAAAAAAAAAAAAAAAGTACACTTCTGTTAAAACTTGGACTTTATTTTTCTCATCTCCCCTTGCTGGGAACAATAGGTTGATCAATCTGTCATTTGTTTGGAGTATTATTTCTTTATTTGGTTTATTATTATTATTATTATTATTTTTTTAATCCTCACCCGAGGAGATTTTTCCATTTTTTGTTCAGATAGAGCGGGAGGGAGAGAGAGGAAGAGAGAGAGAGAGAAACATCAATGTGAAGGGACACATCGAGTGGCTGCCACCCACACGACCAACCAGGGCCGGGGACAAACTGCAACCGAGGTACGTGCCCTTAGCGAGAACCGAACCAGGGTCTCTCTGTACCGCAGGCTGACGCTCTAACCGCTGAGCCAAACCGGCCAGGGTATTTGGTTTATTAAGAGATATTATCTTGTGGACCACAGGCTGACGCTCTAACCGCTGAGCCAAACCGGCCAGGGTATTTGGTTTATTAAGAGATATTATCTTGTATGCTACTGGCTTATAAAATTATGATATTCCTACAGTGAACCTGTGTTAAATAGATTGCTGACAAAGACAAAAATCACTTTCTGACTGTAATTCTTGCTGCCTCCCATAAAACAAAACCTAAACAATTGGCAGAGCTGGCAACCCAACCCAAAAGTAATAATTAAAATTTGTTGGGGCCCTGGCTGGGTTGCCCAGTTGGTTAGAGTGTCATGGTTGGGGGTTTGATCCCTGGTCAAGGGAACACACAAGAATCAACCAATGAATGAATAAATAAGTGGAACAACAAATCTCTCTCCCCCCGCCTTTCTCTCTCTGTTAATTAATAACTAAAATTTTAAAAAATTGGTTGGTGCTATGGGATATATCATACTACATGCTAAATTTGAAATGCAGATTGATAAATTATGTTAAAATTGTAATTGACCAAAATCTAGTAAAGCCCATTACTGGATTGACAAACTTTAAACTTATACTATTTATTATCTATGGCATCCTACTGAAATGATAAACAGTCTATGAATAGACAAAAA